TTGAATAATCTTACATCTAGGATATAATTTCTATCCTTCAAAATGAGAGAAATTTGTTCGCTACTGATATAATTATCATATTGATTATAATATTCTCCGTTAATTTATGATATCCTCGCTTACACATATTGTTTTATTTCTCAGATTATCCTATATTAGAATTTCCTACCTTGTTGAAAAAAAATGAAAAACAACGCTATTTTTTTCATTAATCGCGTTGCAATATAATTGTCGTTTGCGCAGATGATTTTGAAAGACGCATCGTTGCAAGTTTCATCGACGACGAATTGTGCGCCAAGAGGCACGATAGGATTTTTTTTTTTGTTTCAGAAACAGGCCGATGTAAGTCTGGCAGAGTGGCTGGATCACTGCCAACTGAAAGAAAGTCTCTCTCTTCCTCGAGCTCGAGGGGTTAATTGGCTTAATTTTCTTGAAGAACGAGGAACGCTTTCCAGCCCCACTTCCTGCCCGTTTCTTTCTCGCAACGAAAACGTTGTTCTTTCGCCGAGAAAAGTTGCTTCTTCCTCTAAACTCTGTTCGAGTAGAGACTTTATACTGCAATTATCACCTGCACTTTCTTCTGTCTTCTCTATTTTAGAATTTGTTTGAAAGAAATTCTAGCGAATCTCCTTTCACGATGAATTTCCTCCGAGAAACCAGAAATTAGAAATTTCATCTTTTAGTAAAATTACAAATAACTTGTATTGTTCGTGTGCTTGGAACCTCTTCAGGTTGACACTAACTGAAAGCTTCAAATAATCGTGAACAGGTATGGTGAAAAAGTTGAATTCTCCATCGACCCGAACAATTTTATCCCAACGTTAAATGATCTTTAAATCTTGGTTATTGAATCGCGTAATTTCATGCTCACTATCTTAGTATAAAGGCAGACAACAATTCTACCGTGTAGAATATTCGAGGACACTTGAATTCACTGATATACTCTTATCACGTCTGTCCTAAATAGCACGTGCCTTTGAAATGATTTCACCGCCAGGAAATTCACACCTCCATTACAATCTTGGCAAACTGTGGCGCCATTAAGAGAACCGTGTAACGTACACGTCATAAATGGTAAATTCTGCCGATCCTTCCCATTTTATCGAGTAAAGCCGGAAGCAGACTTTAGGAACGGTGTCAATGGAACCTCGAACCGCGTGAAATTTTTATCGATCCTTAACGAGCTCTTTGTTCCCATGACTGAAAACATGCGGTGGCTTCTTTCATACCTTACAAGAGACACCTTTGCCGCCCCCTTGCATCGTCCATGCTGGCCGGATTAGTTGCGAATAATTTACTACTAGAGAGGACAAAATGCAGTCCATTATCGTCGCCGTGCTTTAAAAGCCCGCTTCGTAAACAGAGTAATTTTCGTCGCTCGCCATCTTATATCGTTCTCAGTCAAATATTAAAGAGATTCGACGGAGAGAAAGAGAAGCAAGTGGAGAGAGAGAGAGAGAGAGAGAGAGAACGAGTTCATCCTAGATGGGGCGTGTGTTTATAACGGACCGCTTGGAAATTAATGTCTCGGTCCGAGAATTAGGGTCGAGACGCTGCAGCTATTGGAAAGATGTTCGACGTTAAATCGATGCAGAGAGGCGATTCACCGATAAGCCGCTTTTATCGCGGCCCAGAAACGTTGGATCGCTTTGAAATATTAAATGCTGTCGGATTCGTCGGGCTGTTTGATGAAATGGAACGGAGAGGTTGCAGAACGAGATCGACCCGAGACTAACAGAAAATCTTCCCTGTATCGATGAAATAAAAATTATACGGCCGTAGCTTTGAAACGCGGACAGAAAAGAGATCAAAGGGGCACGGTGGATAGACAACGAAGTATTTGCCGGTTGGATGCCGCGAAACTTGGTTGTATCGGACGCAGCTAATTACCGTTACTTGGTCACGACGAGTCGTCGATTTTCCCCGGAAACAAATTGGATAAGCTTGTCGCTTTTATCGTTTACCAGCAGCTGCAATAATCGACGGTTAACCGGCGGCGGATAGCGTCCCTTTGCGCACCAAGACACGACTTAATGGAGCTACGTCGGACGCACGATCGTCGGTGAAATGTAAAAAAGCGGCGACCAACCGCAGACTCGGAGCCAGTAATTAAACGATCCTGCGGAAACGGGTCGCAAAGGAAGCGGGGCAACGTGTCGATTCGTTTTCGCTAGGGAATAGTACGTGCGGACAACAGAGAGACCATAATAGAGAATTCCATTGTCCTTTTACCCCACCGTTCCGACGTTGTTTAAGAGAGAAACAAAGAAATCTCGAATTGATATAATACTATTTGCAAATAAATCGAAAGGAATTCAAAGAATAGGGTGGGGGAAGGTCAAAGGATGAAGCGGAGAATCGAGTGCATCCAGAAGGATGCTCTCGCACACGCGGTCCAGAGACACGTGATTTAACCATCACGGCGTAAACACGCAGCGTTTTCAGCGGAATGTCAATATTCGACAGTTCAATTAATCCCCGATGTATCATCCCTGCGGGGAGCAGATGGAGGACACAATGTCCTCCATCTACCCGTACCTGCATTCCGGCCGTACTGAAAACCACCAGCCCGTTATACAGAGAGAGGGTTTACATGGTTGTATCCGGCGCACAGGCCACGCGTTCTCTCCTTCCGCTCGATATTGTCTCCCGGATAAGTGGCAGCGGGAAAATGCGCTTGACACTTATGAGGCTACATTTCTCGAACGGCAGGCGACACACACACGCGCGCGCACTCTTTCTCTCTCTCTCTCTCTCTGTCTCCCCTTTTGCTTTCCTTCGTTTACTCCGCTTTTTCCATCGTCCGTGTCGCCTACGAACGACGCATGTCTGGAATGCAACTAGAAGTGGAAAGAAACTGCCAATGCATCCTGTCTATCGTTGTTTCCTTTCGCTCGCTGAAAAATTTCTCTCTTTTTTTCATTCATGTGCTACTTACATGCTCGTCGAACGTGTAAAGGCAATAACGTGCTATACCATCACTTTCGCGTAATATAAATATAAATATAAAAAAAGATATGAATATTGGAATGCCAGAGAAAAATGAAGATTCGTGGACAACTATCAGAGTGTTTAAAATTCATTGTTACTAAGCCCAATGAAAGCCACTTGAGAGCTTAGATAATAAAGGGAAATTTTATTTCCATTTCTATGATGTAAATGATCCCACAAATTACTCAGTTTTCCAACCACTTTCCATCTACCTAGGATGTTATCACTAGAATTAAACTACAGAAATGCGAGCACAAATAATTATTATCTCTTGCACATAGTAGAATAGTGTCGGAATGTATGGTGACGAATTTTTCCGCGAATGTGTTGACGAATATGTTCACGAGTTATCCGTAACAATTTCTAGAACTGTTGGTTCGAGACAGGCCGGAGCCAAACCCAATAATTTAATATAATATAAATTAAATATAATAATATAAATTAATATAATTTAAACATAATAAGAATATAATTTTTAGAATTTTGTATTATATCGTTACTAAATAGTCAAATTATTGAGATTCGTGCGATAAAAATAATACCAAATATAACTATATTTGTCCAACAATTTTTAATTAAACTAAAGAAGTATATAATATGTCATTAGGAGTAAGAAATGTCCCGATTCTACAGTCGTCTTATTACACTCTATCTATCTTGTCTTATTCGCACTGTCTACTTCTCACTGGTGCCCGTGATACACTCGCAGCAGATTGAGCAGAAGTCAGATAATGTTGGTCAATTGTCGAGAAATCGCCACTCCGCATACATAGTGTGTTCAATGTTATAACACGATGTACCAAGAATTCCGTTAAGCCAGGTTTACGCCACAGACGAAAGCAACCGCTATTTTCAAGAAATAGATTTTTAGCGCTACGACCATCCGCGTGTCAGCGGTCAGATGTTACGGGAGTAATTCAACGGATTTGCCATAGGATGTATTTTTAACTTCCGTAGCTCAATAATCGAGACCCTGTCATAAACCTTAGAGTTCCTAATCGGTCATGCGACGACCGACCTAACAGTTTCCGCAACATAACTCGGACACTCTCGAACATTCTACAGAGGTGTGCGTTCCACCACCTCCACGTACACCCTCACACAACACCTTCTAAGGGGGATCGATTCCTTCCATTCAATTGCACAACGTGCAATGAAAGGGAAGGTACGAGGTATAAAGAATGCGGAAATAGACAATTTTCGATCAGTATCTGCAGAATCTACTGAGAATCTATCAGAGAACTGAGTCACGCGAAAATTACACGGAAGTTCGAGAATTAACAAAATCACATCTACGAGAACACAGTCACGTCAGAATAAGCAGAATCGGTTAGAATCAGGATCTGAAAACGCTAGTTCGTGTATAAATATAGTCAAATTCATAAGCAATCGATCAAACAATCCTCCCGCAATCGTACAACACGAGAGCGTACACGATTGGTTACACCCCTGGATCGAACGTACGGGCTTTCGCTCGATTTTACATGGACGAGCAATTCCCGCTCGATAGCTGTACATCCGGGTATTACTGTACCTACAAATTGTTATTCATTTTAAATTCTTATCCTAAACAAATGCAAAACTCCGACATTCCAATTCTCTGCTCATTAATCTGAATCAGTCTCATCTATTTTGTATGAAATGAGCAGGCGTCTCAATACAATACGATACTTATAAACGGAAGTATATATACCAACAGAAGTATAGTATAGTAGTATACATGGTGGCATTCGAGGGAATGAGAAATCGCAAATTCCAGTGGCGTGTTGTTATCGTGGCCGAGCAGGTGTCTCGCATAATTTCTGCGGCTCGCAAATTTGCCTGGAGCTCACGCTTCGCCTTGACTCGCGCGTGTCGCCGAAAGAAGCATTCTCGACGGGGCGTGAATCGTGCCGGATCACGATTTCCGCCGCGATCAGCCGGCTGTTTGGTTATGTGCATACACCCCGCGTATCCCACTCTCACGCACAGAGAAGATTTACGAGCCGTGTTACGCGATCTGTCCACAGAACGGACGTGCTAGCAGCGAGAGCAGCGAGGACGGAGCAGGAAGCAGCGCCAGCACCTCGCGAGGAGCCGGAAGTGGATTCGCACTCGGTGGTGGATGTACTGGTGGATGGCGCAGCGTCTTCGGCGCCGTTTCCGGTCGGGAATTGAGGCTGTACGAGTGCGCTCCTTGGAGTCCCGAAGCTTGGGCCTCGCCCAGCATCACCTGTCCATTGATCGCTACCAGGTGAGCAAAATTTGTATTCTTATTTTCTATGTTCGTTATCAATATTTTAGAACAAGAATTTAAGGTAGCGCTGTGGAAAATTGGAAAGTGGAGAAGCGTAGATGAACAAAGGGAAGAAATTGGTACGTGAATAGATTGGCAATCGAGCGGTCGGTTGGGTGCAATATATGTATGAAAAAATATTTAACAGTAACGAGAATAATAACAAAAGAAAAATATATGTAAATTCAACTGTGGAGAACGTGAACTATTTGAAATATTACATACAGTTCAATTACATTTAACGCTTAAAATTTAGAGATAGTTAAAGACATAAACTTAGAAACTTATCTTATCGTTCGAAAGGAGTGTGAAAATTAACACATTATGAGAGTATAAAATAATGTAATAAGAACAGAGGATATAAAAGGTATAGAGGTTATAGAGTAACCCGAAATCCAACTATTTCAATTTTTACGTCGTAAACCTCCAGTATCTTAGATCGCGGGGCGGTCTGACTATGGTCCTCCTATTCTACTGCGACGTTATACGCGAACTTTCACGATCCGAGATTCCACAGTAGATTGAAAACGAACTTTCCACTGATTTTACGTTAATATCGCATGAATTCCAACTTATATCTGCGCTAAATATTCCTTGTCTTTTAATCTTCCTAAAATCGTTTTCAAAGTACGCGTAAACCTCCTCCAGCAGGGACTAACTAACTTGCTCGTTTCACTTCACATACCGAACGATGTATCTACGTATAACGGTGCATACCATACTTGTACATTGCGCTCTCAAACAATCATGCGGAATCGGAGGCGGCGCGTCGATAATCGCAATCGATAGGCCGCGAAACGAGTCGACGTCGCGGGGACTGCGCGTTTTAACGGTCCGCGCACGTAACGGCCGTCCCGACGCCGCGATACGAATAGCCGAGCGCGCGTATAATAGTCTTAATTAAAATAGTGGTCTAACGAACACCGCTAACTGCGGTAATCCGACGTGCCTCATTGGTAATCCCCCGGCTGTGCCAGTGAACACGAATGCGTTATGTTGGCCGGCCTGCCGGTGGCACGATCGACTGCCCCCGCTCCCCAGCTCGTGGCTACGATATCGAGCCAAATTCTGTCCTACTATGTGTCCGTGCTTGCACAACTGTATGTGTCCATATGCATGTGTTTATGTGTGTATGTGTATCTGTTGGACGACGTGACACCTTCGCGGTTGTCTGTCCAGCGAATATCACCACGATGATCGGCCATGTCTCGTCCATGCGATTGTTTCGGCCGAGGTGCGAGATCCTCTCGACGTTTCCTTTGCATCGGTATCGAGTCTCTGAATCTGGAGTAATTTATTCGATACAATGAATTAGCGTTTTTTGTTTCTACCTCTATGTTCTTTTTCTTTCCGGATGTTTCATTGAAGGAAGACATAATTTGGGAGGTCCCTCAATTTTTATATTGTAATATTAGTATTATATACAAAGTGAATTATGCGGTGAGTAGATCCAAGATCTGGCTTTAAAAAACGTTTAAAAGATTAGAATTAATGCTCTTCGCTCGTGTATCAATTTAGTCTTCCGTTGTTCTCATCTAAGAAACTAACATGTTTTTTGTAGTAACGTTAAGTATATAAAATCATATAATCGAGTAGAGAACATATATAAGTTGGGATGAACATATTAATCGTAAAAGAAGGAAGACCAGTTTAAAAAATATCGTCTCTATTTGTTAGACCCTTTGATTAGGGGATGAGGGTGTTTCCTAAACAAAGATCCAAGTTCTGTATTGCTTGACTTTGCTCAAACTTGAGTATCAGTTTTAAAAAGTCAAAGATCAGTTTAAAATCGAAGATGCTTTCAATTGGACGAGGAATTAAAGATCCCTCGACACTTTCTTAGTTACATAAATCACTTATCGATCAGGATCGAAGACTTTCACTTGAAGGAAGGCTTCACGGAACCTATTTTATTTCCGGCAATGCTCGACTAAAAGGAATCCCGTCATGATGCTCCTGTTCGAAGGAAACAGCGTGTCCATTTATTCGGTCGCGGTGCCCTGTAATCGGAGAAGTCCTGCCCACGGCGACGTAAGATAGAAACAGAGGCGGAAAGAGACGCGAAAATGACCGCATTCCCTGGAATTGGATTTCGCTGGAGGGTGCTCGCGATCCGGAAAGTTAATGCAACCTGGGCCAAGAGAGCCGCCAGTCGAGACTGTGTGGCTAATACTACGCTGTCGTGGAAACGGCCATCAGAAAACGAAGAAAGCGATCTTCCCGTCTACGTTAAACGTTAAACGGACACCGAAAACACAGTCGTCCTTTCATTTCAAAAACTCGAAGGTTATCAGTTCGATCTGAATGGGATTCAAGAATTTTGTATTTGATCTATCGGGTCGTATCAAAGTATTCGAATACTCGCAGACGTATTTTACACGTATTTTTATGTCGTATGACGATAGTCGTGTTATTATAGTATTAATGAAGTTGCAAAATATTTTATATAACGTATATAGTATAATGATAACAGTTTAGTTTTCTATGGTAAGTGTTAAAATATTTTCGCGAGCTAGTATATATATGTATATTTTATTGTATCTATTGAACGCAGAAGAAAACAGGGTGGGAGGTTTGTTCGTTGTTGAATTACCATCATGGCGAGATACAGGCTGAATTGATAAGTAATCGTCGGCCATAAAGCTTTCGCGCAGCGTTCGACGATAATAATCGAGTTGACGATACGGGATATACAAACGCGGGGAAAAGAATCGAATTTCCAAACAGAAACATTCACCAAAGTGGTGTATCGACGAATGAAAAACACGAAAAATGGTGAACGATCAAAAATCATCGGTCGATCAACAGAGAGTGATTCCCATTGACCGATCGATTAATACCGCGATGACCGGTTAGATTCGTTTGCCAGACAAAATAAGCGAAAATGTGAAGGATAGATGAACGATGGAAAAATGAGAAATCAACGACCGCCAGCCGATTCGTTGGCAATCGGTCCCGTTCCCGCATTCGCGATTCCATCGTCCGATAGTTGTATCTATTATTATTTTTTAAAACCTTGTAAAATTTATTATTATTTTTTAAAACTTTGTAAAACCTTGTAAAAAGTATTAATCGAGTCGAGAATCGACCTTTTTCTGGCATAGAAGAACTTGAATATATCAGATGGAAGAATAAACTCGATTCCGAGTATCCATGAAATTTTTTACCAGTATATTTCACCAGCCCCTGTGTCTTTATCGTCTTTACTTTTTTCATTCGAAAAACCAAGCAAACGAGAATAAACGTTGCACGAGGTGGTGTAGGAAAAATGTTCGATCGTTAACCAGACGATTGTATTTTACAGCAGATCGCCTTTAAATCTTGTTTACATCTCGTGTGTTGGCCAGCGTGCCTGGTTAAATTGCCGTCGTCGCCAATGGAGTGATTAATCGCGCTGATCGTAATTAACGATTTAGCACGCCGCTCACGGAAACTTCAGAATCACGTCCGCGCGCAAAGTCCCCCGACAGTAATCGTTGCCAAAGTAATCACCGAAATTACCCTCGATGCAGCGGCAACTTGTTCGGTTATTAATTACGGGGGCAACCTCGTACCCTGCTCGTTTAAATAACGATTTCCTTTATCAACGACTTTCGTCCTTAGACAATTTCCTTCTACGATATTATTCGATTCTTCCCGATATTATTCCCTTTGGTAAGGAGCCTTAGAGAAAATTGAACAATTCTCTCGCGAAACTTTCGAATCTCTAATTGCCAACGATAAATTCCCAAAGAATTTTGATTAAAGCACCTCGCGATCTGTTTCTATGATACGCAGAAGTTTATTCTACAGGACGAAGCGCTTTCGGGTTTAAAGCTGAAGCAGTTTTGAACAGTTGTGCGAATCTGATTTGTCCAAAGTCATCTCCAGCACAGGCGAATAGTCCGTCTTTGGTGCGACGGTAGGGAAACTACGAGAGGTATGACACGCGTGAGATTATTCTACTGCTGTCTGGAGTCTTGCGCTAAGGGTGAAATGAATGGAGAGTCTGCAGAATGGTCTGTTCCAAATAGCTCAGTCGATGAAACAACCGCGACGTCTACCGTGCAACTGTCACGGTCCATTGTCTTTCCATCATTAGCCTGTATCATATCAAAGCTAAGAATAGGAATCTCTGTGGTGCTTCGTGCAATCACGAGTCAAGATTCGTGAAGTAAAAATTTGAAGAACAGTTTGATGAAATAATACTTGGAGGGGGAGAAAATAGTAAATATGTTAAGACCTTTAATTTAGGAAGGATGTAGATGAAATTGTGAATCAGAGTTTAATAGAAATATTTCTGTTTGCAAATCTGACACAATGATCGTGAATTTTTATGCAAATTCATATTTTTACGAATAAGATTCAAAGAGATAAAATCTGACTAGAGATTTGCTTCACAGTGTGACGAATACTTTACTTTGAATATTTGACACACCTTTCCGTGTTATCCTTGCCGTATTAAATTTCCATAAATGAATGCATAGATATTCATAAATCGATATCATAAGAAAACATTTATACCAATTTTTCACGGAGTATATCTCAAACACGATAGAGTCATAAGTAGCGTAAAATCGATAAAAAGCTGATCGTGTTTGCGTAACACTTTTTAAACCGATTAATCCAAGGAGTTGACGATAATTAACGGATCGGGTGTGAGCTTATGAAAGTTAAAGACCGTGACCTTGGTACAAAGCAGCGATCACGGGCTCTCTTGAAAAGGGTGAACTCACGCTGGAAGCGTTCCAACCCTCTACACTCGGGGACCAACGATTGCCTGGTTAATTAATAGCGAGTGATTAATCGCCGGAGAATGGGATACCCTCGTCAAACAAACCTCTGACGAGGTCCCCGGCTTCGTACGTGATCTGCAAACGCGAGAAAGTGAAAGATCGACGGATGGATCAACAACCTCTCTTATCCGCGACTTTTTCTTTCCGACTTTCGACGTACGATGCTTTCGTTAACTTTTTAAT